TCAAACCCACAATTAAGTAATATTCTCTTAACTCATGAACTGCACAAGAAATGTTTTCCCTGTCACTTCTCAGCCCTCCTCCTAAGCAACCCACCAGCAGGTCAGGCTGGGGTTATGGGCTTTCATAGAGTCAGTAGAGACCATAAGACAGGCCTCCAGAGGTGAGGCCACTCCTCCTTCTGCCACGCAAGGATGCAGAGAAAGGAGGTCTGGCCTCCAGACATAAAAGCTGCATTATGCACATCATTTCAGTTAATCCTCCCAATGGTGCTGTAAGGTCAGCATTACTACACTAATTTCATAGTGGAAGAAAATGAAGTTCAAAGAAGGTAAGCAATTTGCACAAGTCCCAAAATTTCAGGCTCTCCACTACAGTCCACCATGTTTGAGGGGAGTCAGATAGGATTAAAGGCAAGGAAGCTCCAAGTATCAAAAAATACACCAAAAGACATCCTAGTCTTTTGGCAAAATATTTCACCATAGCTCCCCAGGGTTCACTCTTCAATTACACTATTAAGCACTGCACCTTTATTTTGTTATTGAATAAATGAATGACTTTACAAAGGCCTAAGGATGAGGGCACCTTCTCCGTGAGTTCTTCTGAACTTTCTTGCCTGGTTTTTATTGCACATTTTATAGTATTTTAGACACTAATCATAGAATATAGGGTCTGGTTCACTAACCAGTGTTGATTCATCTAGTGGATGAAGGCTTCTAGAACATCCTCCTCAGTTACTGTGTTAGACATTGGGGATACAAAGATGGTTAAGGACTGGTCTCCACCCACCAGAGACACTACTATAATGAGGGAGATGGAGAAGGCAGATTCAACATGGTCAGCCCAAGAAAACAAATATAAGTTCAGTGAAGGCATAGGCATGCATGGACATTTTGCACCTCAGTCAGGCTGTATCAACACTCAGTGAGCAATAACTGAGCTTTCAGTGTTTCATATCTCTTAGAATCTTACCCAGTAGAGGTATCCCTCAATATCCATGGAGGATTGGTTCCAAGACCTCCCAGAGATACCAAACTCTGTAGATATTCAAGTCCCTTACATAAAACAGCAGTATATCATCTCTAGCTTACTTATAATACCTGTGCAAATGTCATTATACTATGTTTAGTGAATAAAAATGGGAAAGGAAAGTCTGTTCAGTGCAGACGCTTTTTTTTTTTTCCCTGAATAGTTTCAATCTGCAGTTGGTTGAATCCACAGATGCAGAACCTGTAGTCAAGGAGGGCCAACTGTATTTCTTGCACACCTATTTCAGAGTCAGGAGAACAGGTGTGGCACCTGCCTTGGGATGCTCCCTCTCTACTAGGGGAGACAGTTAGTATCTATCCCAAAGGCTCCTAGTCTGCAGCCCAGTGAGGCAAATTGACAAACTCTGAATAAGAAAATGATTCCAATGGAAAGATTAAAATTAATAAAAATGTGGGCCAGTGCTATGATATGTGGCGAAGGAAAGAGAAAAAGAGGAAGACTACTGAGCGGTTCAATACTTGACCCTATGTGGCTGGGGAAATCTCTGCACTTGAAACTAAGAGGTCTACCCCATCCTGGGTAGGTCAAAGTCAATGAACTTCAAGAAGAAGATGGCTGACCTCATTCAAAGCTCTCCTTATGCCTCTGGTGTTGTCCCCCTGGCCAGCCTTGGGTTTTAATTTTTTTAAATCACCTACTGTGTATCAGGTATTTTGTTAGGTAGTTCAGCATCTTGATTCGTGGGCTATCTGGAACTTTCTGACCAACAGAACAAAGAAGTCTGACCCCCCCAAGTCGACTCGCTGCTTCCCAGCTTCCCTGCCACCTCAGCAGACCTCACTGTGGGTCTCCAGCTTGGAGTGGACTCCCTGGCTTCCTGACTTTACCCTTCTGATTGCTGGGTACTTGCAGACCCTGCTGGTGCCCCTTGGGTACCACAATGAGGAGGCCAAGTTGGAGGGCAGATGCAGACTTAAGTCTAGGACAAGTATCTCAGCTCAGAGAGCAGGTTGGCAGATCCAGGGAAGAGCTGGGGCTAAAGAGGCAGTAGAGAGAAGTGCCCCAAACTGACGGGAGTGAGTTGGAATCTCACAGACCAGGGAGTAGATGGGCCATGTTAATTGGTGCTGTGTCTCATCCCTTTCCGACAGTAGTACAAGCTGAGGACTACCCTTTGGAAAGCACTTGAACTGAAAAATTTTCAAATCTTTTGTTCCATTAATCTCTCTACTGCCATCTAATCGATCCCCAGGGAATTATATTAAATATAGAATTAAAAGCTTCACAATAAAGACATCCATCCGATTTTAATTAATAAAAGGAAATATTGGAAACCTCCTTAATAAACTGCCAACAGAAAAATGATTCAGTAAATGGTAGCATATCAAATTTAATGGAATATTAACCATTAAAATGACATTGACAGAGTGTTGGGTAAAAGCAGGATGCAAAATACTATGAATGATTTTAGTTATGGCTAAAGCTACTAAGCACTTACTACATTTGCAGCAGAAATATTTTATTTAAAACATGCCATAATATAGGTAGTATTATCCCCGCTTTATAGACAAAAGAACAACTTAGCAGCTAGGCAGATTACCTGAGGTCACAGTCAGTGAAAGATAGTAGTGAATTAAATATCAAGTCTTTCTGATGGGTCTCAGAGAAGTAACCAGAAGACCAGACCCAGACCTCCTGGCTGCAAAGTCTGTGTTCTTTCTACTCTTTCCATCGCCCTGCTGCACAGAGGTGCTTGGTTTTCCACTCTGATGTTTTATGATCAGCTGAGCTCTGGCAAGCACTTGTTTACAAGCACAGAGCAGGCCACTGCTTTCTGAAAAAGAGGTCAAGGTGAACTGGGTCTCCCGGAGGTATTTAACCACATTCCAGCCCTGACCTGAGCTCAGGAGAGGAGAGGATGGTGGGGCAGAGACAGAGCCAGGTCCTCACCATTTTGTCCAAACAGCATCTCTCACTGCCTTTAAAATCCAGATAGTTCCCTTATTTAGGCATAGGTAATATACACACATCTCCAGAGTCCCTTCCAATTTGGTCTTATGATTGCAACTTCCCAGCAAATGGGTTTATTTCTAAGAACCTTACAGTCAAATTTGTAGCCATCTTTAGCCACTATTCAAGATTGTTCAACACTCATTTCTGTATGCTGTGCTTTCCCAGGTTTATTATTTCCTGTCCATACTTTCTCTCTGCTCTTTTTTGGTTCCTCACCTTCACTTCAGTAGGAGATCTAAGCATTATAAAAATCCACCTATATGATGCATTCCTAAAGCAGGTAATACCACGCCTTAGGGGATAAAAATTGGTTCTGGGAGAGCAAGGGAGGGGAAGGGAAGGAACATGGGGGTAGGAAAGACGGTGGAATGAGATAGACATCATTACCCTAAGTACATGTATGAAGACACAAATGGTGTGAGTCTACTTTGTGTACAACCAGAGATATGAAAAATTGTGCTCTATATGTGTAGTATGAATTGTAATGCATTCTGCTGTCATATGTAACAATTTAAAATAAAAAAAATAAAAATACCTTCTTGCAATGTTAAAAAAAATCTCCTTTTAGGTATAAAGCACATATAGATGTATTCTACCGTACATAAGCAGAGAGTATATAGAAGGAATTAAATTTTTCTTAGGAGGATGGTAATGAAAAATAAAAGGCTGAGGATCATTGATCTTAAGAACCCATAACCCACAGAGAACCCCTGACACAAGATCGTCAGGCACACCATTGTCAGAAGTAAAGTTAGACAAGATACACAAATCCAGCCACCCTTCCTCCATTGCTCAACCACTTCCCATGTCCTCCTCCACCGGCAGCTGAAACCTGCAGTATAATTTTTGCTTCCATCTCTAAAGACCAACAGCTCTTACTTTAGGGGCTTATAGAATAACCTGCCTTGGGATGGTGTGTTCAAATGCAGGTTCCTTGGTCTCACCTCAGAGAGTCTGGGTGCCCAGCAGATTCTGATGGACCCCACTTGGAGAAACACTCGCTACAAAGTACTTCCATTTAATGACTCAGGCACAAAGGTGTCCAGAATTTCAACCCAAACTCTAAATGAAGGGTGGGCTTAGAGACTGATTTGATTTTAGTACAAAGTAGGCCTTCTCCAGATAATTTCTTAATCAGGGGCTGATATATTCATTATATATGTGGGGACTGACTGATGCTACACTCTTCCAGAAACAGTCCCTCCCTCTCCTTTCTGGACTTAGCAGGGGCAGGTCTCCCCCATTCTCTGGCCCAAGGGTAGGGCCTTTGAGAGTGGTGCCTGGGCTAAGCAGCCTGGCTGTGGGGGGCTACCGCCAGGGGAATCAGTCTCCATGGGCTCCTCGTCCCCTCACTGCTGCGATGATGCAAGCCAGTGTGACAGGCTGCGGAAAGTATGTCCAGGTGCCTGGCTCTCCTCAGCCTAATGCCTTTTAAATCAGGATCCAGATTTGATTCGATTTTCCTTGCTTTCCTGGCTCCAATTCTTTCAGGCTCATTTTTCACTCCCCTGTCAGGCTTCCCAGGGTTTGGGGGCTGGGTGCAGCCAAATCCTTCACACTTCACAGACAGCTCCCTCCCAGGCTTGGGACGCTGCCCTGCTATACCAGTCACCTAAACTCCAGCTCTCAGCACGTCCCACGCTGCCCTGCTGCTATGTCCTGCCCCCAGACCTTCTGGGGTTTCTGAGTAAGAGGGACCTGCATCTCATGGAGGAGCTGCCTGGGGACTCAGCATGAGAGACAAACCAGTGAGTGTATTCCTCGTGCTCACCTTTTCTCAGCCAGCTGCCAGGACACAGGTATCTATTCACCAATCACTGCCTGCCCCTATCACCCTTCATTTCAGAAAGTTCTGAAGCAGAGGCAGGGGACAGTGATTGGACTTGAAGGGCCATCAGGACTGACTGGGGTGTCCGAGCATCCCTCCTACCTTCCCACATAGCATTCAGCACTCACGGCCGATGTATGTGTGAATCAGTGTCAGATGTGTGGCTCTAGAGCCTCAGCAACCAGGATGTGAACTCCCTGAATATAGGAACATTGTCTTAGTTCTCTGTCATCTTTTTATTCCAGGGGTAGCAAATAACCTGCATACAGCTAGCAGTTACTAAAGAGAATCAACTACCCTCTCAAGCGAGTCTCCTGGCATTACAACTGTCACATAGCACTAGGGGTCAGCTGGTGAGTATACTAATAGAACCACTAGGACTCTTTTCCAAAATCTTGTTTACATTTTTATTCTTATGAAATCATGGAACATCAGAGCAGGAAAGGGCATGAAAGTCAGCAAGTCTGATCTCCTCATTTTTATAGTTGAAGAAAACTAAAGTCCATAGGGCAGAGTGCAGCAGAGATTCAGGTGCATAACCAGCAGCCTTGCTCTCCTTTAGGATCACGCTGGCATTCCTAAGAGCAGCCATCTCCCTATGGTAACCAACACACTGCTGACCAAAGAGGTTGCAAAAGATGGCATTTTGGTCATCAGGCTGGTTGAATGTGCTAATATATTCAAAATGATCCTTGCTCAGTGATGACCTAATCAAACTTTACTGAATATTTGTCATAGCCAGAGCTCCATCCCAGAGGTTGTGAAGAAACTAAAGATGAGTAAGAAATAGCCTCAAAGAGCCCCCTTTCTAAGTGACCAGCACCTAAATAACCAGAACATACAATAAAAGTTACAGTACAAGAAACACCCAGTGTGATCCCCAAGGAAGACTGGCTCCCTGCTAGAGGTGACATTTGGAAGTGGCTGGGCAACACTCTGATAGACTTGGGTACAGACTCCAGTTAGAAAGGATGACAGAACTCTACCAGGCAAATCCCAGGATCTGCTCAGGCCACAGGGGCTCAGCGCAGGGCAGTTTGGATGAGGGCAGGTTCAGGGAATACATCCCACACCATAGAAAAAGCTGAATGCCAGCCAGAGAGCCCGGGCTCAAAAGCTCAGGAGGGCAGCTCGCTGGGAAGAACCTCACATAGAGAAGCCTGGAAGGAGGAGAGCGAGGAATGCCCAGAGACACAAAGCCAGCAAGTCTTTGACACGTTGGCCTGCAGGTCCACAGTCAGATTTAATTAAGCAAAGGTGCTTAGACTCTGCCTCATTCCTCATTGAGTTTTCCTGGGGATCACTGTGCCCTGATAGCCCCTGGCCTTCCCTGCATCTGTTTGACTTCATTCTACCTGTATGTCTTTTCTTAAGTGCTGAGGACTGGGAGAGAGGTAATAAGCTCTGGCTACTCTTGACCTAGAAAGGCTTCATACACTATAAAATGCTACACAAATGTGCAGTACATTATTAAAAATAAGATGATCAGGGCTGTGGTTGTGGCTGCCCAGCAGTAGAGCGCTAGCCTTGCATGTGTGGGGCCCTGAGTTCGATCCTCAGCACCACATAAAAATAAAATAAAGATATTGTGTCCAACTACACTAAAAGAAATATTTTTTTTTTTTAAAAAAAGATGATCAGGACAAACTATAAAGAAAACTCTACAGCCAAGATACAAATGGGGTCTGAACAAGATAATAAAATATTAAAGATGGAAACAACTGTCAAGATTATTTGGTTCAGCTCCGAATCTGATGCGCAGATAGCAAATACCACAATCCTTCCAAATGATGGTCCAGCCCTCCTCAAACATGCCCGGTTCTAGACAACTGTCTAGCTCCTAGTAAAATGTTCAGCAAACTTCAGTTGAATGAATCAAATCCACTCAAAATCTATCAGTAACAAATGCAGAACATTAGTGAGGTAAGAGATTAATACTTAGAAAATTTGTACACTGAATAAAAATAATATCTCTTTACTGGGCACCTACTGGGCACCAGGAGCTGGCACTGAAGTGCTCTTTTTAAAAAATAAGACCTGTGAAATAGAGATCACACACTAGAAAATATAAGTCACAGAATTTCAGATCTCAAAGGACATTAAGGATCATCTAAACCATAACCGTAAAAGAAAGAACTGACAGGGTTCACAGGAGTTTGTTGGAAAGGTTTAAAGCAACCAGGTACAACCAGAACCCCAGTCCAGGGTTCTTTCCACAGCACATTTTCTCAGTCATCTAATTAGATTCTAAATTGTAGAGTGCAGGGTATAACTCTCCTACAATGTGACAATGCAAGAGAATACAATAGGACGGAAGAGCTGGAAAAGAACTCAGGAGAAAAAAAATAATTTTGTTACCAAAATCCACAATTTATTAGTTGCAAAATCACTGAACATGGTGTGCATGTTTGTTTTTTCTTTGTATTCCAGCATCCAGAACACAGAGGAAACTTAGCTCAGGGTCATTTTTTTTTTTTAAACAAAAGTAGCGACTTTATCATTAACTTTGAATTTGGAAGGGAGTTGCATACACTAAGTAATTTGAACATTCTGAGTTCTGCAGAAATTGCATGAATGGGGATGAATGTGCCAGCCCTCAGTGACCTTCCTCTAGACCATGCCAGCCCAGCACTCCTGGAGAGGAAGGTCCAGGAGTGCTGGGCTGGTGGTCTAGAGGGAGGTCACTGAGCAGGAAAACCCTAATCTGGGTTCTTCATCTCTTAACGCTTTTTTGCCATTCAACTTTGTTTCCATTTCAAGGAAGACAGTGGAGATCATTGGAAACAGTTAAAATAATAGTAGCATACAGGCCCTATCAGTGTACCAAGTTTGTTGTCCTTGTAACCAATAATTGGCATTTCCAGCAAAGGCAACTTCACCTGACTCCTACAGCCCCACTGTGGTGAACACCATTCTACTTTCAAATTCCAGGTGTCTATTTCTTAGTGTAAGAATTGAAACAACACAGAGTGGACTTCTAGTATGAATGATGAAGAGCTTCTCTGACCAATGCTACCTCCCTCTTGCCAGTCCTGTCTTGATTTTTAGATCTCTTTTTGGACATTTATAGCAAGATCACAAACTTAAGAGCCTGAGCAGGAAACCCAAGCATGGAAAGTGAGCCCGCACAAGGAATGGCTTGATGTTGATCCTGCCCATCTTCTGCTGTCCTACTATGAATACAGAAGGGAAGAGGAATGGTTAAGTCATAGCTGGCAACAGACAATGGCCTTAGTGTTGGGAGATGGATGGGAATGGTGGGGATCAGAGCAACTGGAAAAGCCTTGCTTAGACATAGCAGATGGCATCCACTAAGCAAGTGTGGCCATGTAGGAATGGTGCCAGTTCTCTCTCTTCCTTTCTCCCCTTCTTTCTTCTTTTAAATATTTTTTTTTAAATTGTAGATAAGCACTTTTTAAAAATTTATTTATTTATTTATTTATTTATTTATTTATTTATTTATTTATATGTGGTGCTGAGGATCAAACCCACTGCCTCACACATGCTAGGCAAGAGCTCTACCACTGAGCCACAATCCCAGCCCCTCTTTCTTTCTTTTAAAGAAAAGCCACTTATAAATGAATCATACATACATTTTCCCATTAGTAAATCTTGACTCAAACTTTTTGAGAAAGTCACTGGACAAACACAAAAGATCTCTGTGTCAAATGTGGCCCAAGATTTGACCGTTTTTTGCCTTAAGACATAGACTTAAACCTCTGTTATTTAATCCTTGCATTTTAGGTGGTACCTTTTCATTCTCCATCATGTAAATCGAGGAAGGATACCAGCATCCCCATGCTTGGCTCCTCCTCTATTTTTCCTGTCTCTACCATTCACCACTACTTCTGGCTTGCCAAAGCTTATGGAATTATTTTCTCTTCTGTAACTACAATTAATACTTTTTATCTGTATCTATGGGTTGATTTTAAAAAGAGAATGATGTTCTTGATAGCAATATTTTATGATGTACATGTTTGCCTCAAATGTCTGATGGCCATGAATTAACCACCCACAATAAAGAAGGACTACAGGACTAGTTTTCAAATGTGAACAGCCCTGATGGATTTTCTGCTACTTAGATGTAGTCCTGTCTCCCTGAGTAAGGGGCTGACTACAAGTTCCATGTGGGACATGTCTCTGGGCAGGTTGCGCTTAGAGGGGCCATAGCACAAGTAGAGAGCACATCCAATTCATTTACACCTCATGGAAAAGTGAAATGATTTTATTTTTCTGAGCTATTGACTAATATCTACATTATAAGCTTCAATTTTCTCCAAATAGATGGTTAGTAAATAATTCTTCTTTTATTCACCCTGATTTCTTCTCCAAAGTCCACTCCTAATCTTCAAACCCTTTAATGTCAAATTAAAGGCTCTCACTTCTGCTGAAACCTCATCCACAAATGCCCTCTTCTCCTGCTTATAGTGCCACTTTGAATTCACTCTTTTGAATTTCTTTATTTCAATTGCATATGTGGCAGGAAGGAAAATTACTAAGTCTGTTCTGTCCACCCTCTAGGCCTGAAGTGGCCACCAGCTGCTGGCAACTGCAAAGTTTCAGCAAAACTTGTTCTGCCATTGCCCCTTCTGGTGCTTCAGGAGCTCTATGACGCCCAAGTAGCTTACACCAGCCACCTAGAATGACAATCTGGGAGCACATGCAAGTTTGCTGGGATGCCGAGGCCAGCAACGTTTCTCTCATCAAGAGATGACACTGTTCTCTGGATAAGCTTATACCCTGGGTAAATTTTTAAAACTTTAATGTCATGTTTTTATTGTGACTAGAACAACTATTTTCAATGTATCTTCTATTGGGTCACAACCAATACCGAAGAACTGAATTAAGTATAAAAGAATGCTCTAAATTGGCCCTGTCCAATAAGATTTTTTTTGTGATGATGGACATGTTCAATAATGAGTTGTCTAATATCAGCATTTTGTAGCTATTGAGCACTTACAATGTGGCTAGTGTGGTTGAGGGAATGCATTTTCAATTTTACTTTATTTTTACTAATCCTAAATTAAATTTAAAAAGCCACCCATGGCTTGTGGCTCTCCTATTCCACAGTGCAGCTCTAGACCTTGAATAACTCACTCATCTAGGAAGCAAAAGATAATAAACACTAATAAATTATAAATTGATAAAAAGTAAAACTGAATCATATATAGAAGTGTCATAGAAACTCAGAGGGTGCAACCAAGGGATAAAAAGTTCAGCATTACAGCTCCATGCTAATGTGAAAAAAGAATGCCAGGTGAGGGCTGGGGCTGGGGCTGGGGCTCACTGGTAGAGTGCTCGCCTAGCACGTGTGAGACACTGGGTTCCATCCTCAGCACCATAGATAAATAAATAAATAAAATATAGGTATTGTGTTCATCTACAACTAAAAAAAAAAAATTAAAAAAAGAATGCCAGATGATGTGGGGTAAAATGAGCCAGTTGTGGGTCAGCATATGCACATGGGCTTATTTGTGTATAAAAGAATATTCAGATATATGCTCATATTTACATAGAACATTTTCAGAAGGATGCCTAAATTGTTGAGACAGTAGCTACCTCTGGAGAGTGGAAGTTAAGGATCAAGGGAAAGAACATTTAAATTTTATTTTAAAAATAGTTTAACATTTAAATTACTTTCTCTTCATAACAAAGTTATAGGCACAGAGTTAATTAGTGAGTGGTACATTCAAAGGCCAAAGCAGTCCACTCTTCCCTGTGGCTATTACTCATGACTGACCTTATGTGATTATTGGGAATATCCACATCTTATAACCATGGCTCTTCTGAACTCTAGTAAAATGTTTTTAATAACCAAACATACTCAAGGGGAAATAGAATTTAAATCAATAAAATGGAGAGGAGACAGGTGAAGTGGTGTGTACACACACCTGTAATCCCGGCTACTTGGGAGGCTGAGGCAGGAAGATTACAAGTTCCTCAAAACAAAAACTAAAAAGAGCTTGGGATATAGCTCAGTGGTAGAGCACTTTCCTAGTAAGTACAAGGCCCTGGATTCAATCCTGGGGTTAGAAAAGAAAAGAGTGGAAAGCCAGGCGTGGTGGCGCATCCCTGTAATTTCAGTGGCTTGGGAGGCTGAGGCAGGAGGATCACGAGTTTAATGCCAGCTTCAGCAATGGCAAGGCACTAAGCAACTCAGTGAGACCCTATCTCTAAATAAAATACAAAATACAAAATAGGGCTGGGGATGTGGTTCAATTCCCAGTAGCCCCCTACACACACACACCAAAAAAGAATGGAAGAGAGCATTTTGACACTGAGGAAAGGAAGGGAGCAGAAGGGCAGGGATGTGGGGGCAGGGGAGAGATTGATGGTGAAGGGATGAGTGTCAAAAGGGCTGATGCATAATTGCAGGGGAATGGGAAGAATGAAGGAACTTTGGATTGGGCAAAGGGAAAGGAGGGGGCATGGGGATAGGAAAGATGTGAAATAGACATCATTACCCTAGGTATGTGTATGATTACACAGATGGTGTGACTCTACATTGTATACAATCATAGAAATGAAAAGTGGTGCTCCATCTGTGTAATGAATTGAAATGCATTCTGTTGTCATGTATAACTAATTAGAACAAATAAAAAAATAAACAACTACCACCATAAATAAAAAATAAAAATAAAAAAAAATCAGGCCAAGTCCCTGGGGACTTGACTGGTCATGGATAGAATCTTAGACATTATGTTACCTTGGTTCTCCTCAGGAAATCAAACATCTCTTGAACACCTGTCTGAGGCAGGCACAAAGATGAATAAGAAAGAGTCATGGAATTTGAGGAACAATGAGACACAAGAAAGGGTGACCTCATATGGTGCAGGGAATGCAAGATTTGGATCCAAAAGAACTGGCTCATCACTTCCTGGTGTGACCCTGGTACCAGGTTCTGTAATCCCTGAGCTTCCATGACCCCCAAGTCCTTCCTTTGCAAAAAGTGGGAATAAAAGCTACCTAGTTGTGAGGACATGATGATCAGGGTGACATGCCTAGTCCCAGTAAGCCATCAACAATGCTAGTTCCCTTCCTAGCATACTCTGTCCTATTCCTAACCCCAATCCATTAAGAAGATAAAATATTTTCCTTGTTTACCCTCTCTTTCCCCAGGGGATTCAAATCACAGAACCCGTATTGCATACACACTGGCCGGAGAGGGGACCAGAGCTCAGCTCTGCCGGATGGAAGAGGGGAGGAAATAGGCAAATGCTGGCAAGCTATGGGCCGGTCCTAGGAGGACTCTGAAGCACTGCTGAAGAACTTTATGCAATGGGGAGCTACTCAAGGTCAAGGACAGGAAGCAGGGACATGGCTCAGTCAGACCCACATCACTTAAGTAACAGCAGGAAGGATAAATGGGGAGCGCAGAAGTCAGAAACCAGTTCTCAAGCCTCTCCAAGCCTCAACTTAATCACCTCTCAATTCCTATAATAAAAAATTGTTGATTGAACGTATTCAAGCATCTAATCACACAGTCATATCCTGCTGTTTTATACGCACATGTTCTTCTCCAGAAACACATCATGAAGACTCCTGAGGACAGAAAGCAGGCCAGGAACTTCCTCTGAATTTCTCAGGGCACTAAGGGCAACAGTCAGCACTTCTGAGTTGGAAGTGAGCTGTGAAGAAGGCCCTGGGAGAACACCACTACTGGTTAAAATGGGAAATGAAAAATCATTCCTGCTTCTATGGGTCAGGTTTTCGCGTGTTTTCTTTCCCCACCTCTTCAGCTTAAAAATACACATGCTGCGAGCAGGCCAGACTTAACCTTTAGTCATGAAGCCCACCTCAGCAGACACGGAGGCCAGCAGTCTGGCCTGAAACCTGATTTGGGCTGAAACCTGATTTGGGCTGCACTTCTCAAGCTGCACGGAAGTATTAGCTCCTCAGATCTGCAGCACAGCCAGTGCTGCAGGCCAGAAAGTCCTGTGGCCACATTTGCTTTTTTTTTTTTTTTTTTTTTTAATAAGAATAAATTCCAGGGAAGAAATCTCTAGTCATTTCAGCACTTTGCAGAACAATCCGAGGCGACTCATCCACCCATGACACTGGGGGGCCCTGGTATGTGTGCAAGGAAGCCCCAGCTGCTAATGGGCAGTGGTGCAGTGGTTCAGCCCTGGGCACTTATCTTCCCACCCTCCTTACATCTTGACAGTGGAGGTCCTCCCAGAGGAACACAGGCCTGTCAGTGTGCTCAGAGATACTCCTGGGTGCTGAGCACCTGGGGGATAGTTTCCTTCTAGTGCACATAATAATGGACTGGCAGATCCCCTTCCCTGTGGAGAGGGCAGAGCTGGATGAAGGAACAGGAATTTCCAGAATGCCGGTTCAAGGCAGGGGCTCAAGTTGCCTGGGTCTAAATGGTGGTGCTAATGAGAAATGGAGCCAAAGTTCTGTGAATTTCTGAAAATATATTTTTGAGCTTTGGGCTGGCAGAGCCAAAGAAAGAAAGAAGGAGACGAAAAGAGGCAGCTTAGGCCAAATCAGTAGATCCTGATAAAAGAGTAGTTGCTCTGTAAAAACATCGGCTCAGCACTTGGCCCTAGGGATGACCTCCTTCTCCCTCATCCCAGGCCTTGCTGGGTCAAGCCAAATGGCCACAGCCAGGGAAGAATGAATTCTTCTAGAATGCTTCAACTGCAGGACCACATTCAACTCAGACTAAGTACCCTCATTACTGTCAGTAATGAGGGTACTTAATTGGTAAGGGTAATTTGGTAAGGGTCTGAAGGAGTTTTTTAGTTCCTCCTGTGTCGTGTCTCCTTCCCTATTTATTCCCATCCTTTAGGAGGATACTATCTCCCCATACATATCATTAGATGCTTATCACTTAGGAATACTCTTTGTAAAATGTCCTGAGTGAATAATCACAGCCAAAGATCGTACCCTGGAAAGTCTTTGATCCTTAGGAGTTTTGTCTCTTCTTTGTGCTGGTCTTTATGCTCCCGCCACTGCTATCCTCCTGTCTTCATCCAATCCTTAGTGTGCTGGCTTGTTGCCTCATGATTTTAAAACGGCTGCCTGAGCACTTGGCATTACTTTGGTACTCAAGGCAGGAAGCAGGGCAAGGGTGGAATATGAGAGCACAGGGGTGTCTTTCTTCGTCTTCTTTTTAATCAGAAAAGGAAAAGCTTTCCCAGAAGCTCCCTTGATGACTTCAGCCTGAACATGTCACTGGGTCACCATTCAGCTGCAAAGGAAGCTCCTCAAGTGGCCTCTAGCATGGAAAAGGACAGGGGCAAGACAGACTGGTAATGGGTTATGCAACTGCTGTCCAAAGTGTCTGCCACAAAGTGGGAAAGTCCTAAAGGATGTGGGGGACTGAGACCACAGAGTTTAGAGCATCTAAAAAAAATGTGTAAACACAAGGATCAGCTAGAATGTCACTATAGTCATCCAAGTCCTCCCGACAGAAAGAAGAAGACAGAAGAGGAGACTCATTTAATCCTTTGTCAAAAAACAGGCATAAAAAGGAAATGTAGGGAGTGTAGGCAATAGTTTCTAGCATTTTCAGGAAAAAAAAAAAAAAAAAAGCATAAATTTGACCCAACTTGCAGTCACCAGCTCTGAGGTGGTGGGAAGCAAACTTCCACAACTTGCTCACATCTCTGGTAGCCACTGTTTTTCAGTGAGGGGAAAGTCCTAGGCCCCCTCACAGGAAGTGTGGCACCTTTCAAGAGAGGAGAGGGACACTGGCAGAGGTCCTTAGGCAGCAGCAGTGGAAGGAGGAGAGGACTCCTGCGCTGTGGTGGGACCACCAGGGCAGGGCTGAATTTTGAAGGCACGTTTTAAAAAAAAAATCTATTTACTTGTAAGAGATTCTGCAGGAGTTCAGTCTCCAGAGAGCTGAGGTCTTGTGATGGTGTGAAATGAACATGGGGAACAGTAAAGAATGAACACCTGGAGCAGGCTGGGTGCCCACAGAGGAGGGTGGGCACTGTGGGCAGGTCAAGAGGCAGCTGTAAATGGGAATAGAACCAAGGACTGGGCCCAGTGGGTACCCATGTTTGGAGCACAGTCTATTAAAATGAGCAGATCCTGCTCTAAGCCATGACACTCCAGGGCAACACCACTTTACTGTGAAGACACCAGCACAGGAACATCCCTGTTCGGCTTCATCAATATGAAGCCAAGTAAAATAGTCATATAGGGAATACTGTATCTTAAGAATACTGTAGTTTACATTGCCGCAGTTTAGATCTTGAATGTTTGTCCAAAGGCCTATGTATGGTCTTTGGCTGGTGACACTACAGGGAGGTGGTAGGAACTTGGGAGGTGAGTCCTAGTGGGAGGTCTTTAGGTCATTGGAGGTTTTTCTTCTCACACTCCCAGGTGCCAGAAATGGCCAGGTGTTTTTTCTCAGATAAAGAAGCCTTAGATTCATAGAAGGTATAAGAGCCTGGGCACGCTGATCACCGGGCCACTGCTTACTCTGTGCTATTTCCAAATTGCATAATTCAAAGACATGGCTCCTTCACAACTCACAGGCAGCAATGGAAGCAAAGCTGCCATCAGATATAAGGAACCTAAGCATGTCTTCTCCACGCTTGTTTGAATCAAGTAAGGAGCTTGTCTAACAGAAGCAATATGGCAAGAGGGTTGGGGTGGAGACAAGATCAGTTTTGTTGTCTAAGGCACTTCTTAAGTGTTAATTTTTAATTTTTAATGTGTATAATTCAGTATTTTATAAATATATCAGCAAAGATGTGCAACTACCACTTCTAATTTCAAAACTGTATCATCATCCCCAAAAGAAACCCTGGATCTATTAGCAGTCACACCCCATCCTTTTCTCCTCCTTGACCCTGGCAATCGCTAATCTATGTTCCATCTTGATAGACAGTCCAATTTTGACTATTTAATATAAATTCATAGCTGATCTCTTTCTTTTAGCATAATGTTTTCAAGGCTCATCCATGCTGTAGCATGAATCGGTACTTCATTCCCTTTTATGGTCATCTAAGCCATTTCTGAACACCCAGGGATTGAGTGCTCCCATCGCTTCTTTCCGGCCTGCTGTGGAGAGAAGAGGATGGCAATCAGCCAGGGCAATAAAAAAGAGCCCTTATGGGGCTGGGATTGTGGCTCAGTGGTAGAGCACTCGCCTAGCATGGGCGGGACCCGGGTTCAATCCTCATAAATATCCTCCCACATAAAAATAAAGGCATTGTGTTGTGTCCATCTATACCTAATAAATAAATAAATATTCAGAAAAAAGAAAAGAGCCCTTACTACATTGGTACAGCCCACAGACATCCCCAAATTTCCCCTACAATCTTCTCCAAGTAAAAGATACAAAAGGACTTTAGGTCAGATCCTCTAGCAAACAGTCTTCATAGGACAGGGCTGTGTTTAGCACAAAATTCAGTGCAGCCATAGCCTATTTTCAAGGCAGTAGCCTTGGCATACTTTTTAGATGACCACATGGCCAAATACTAGCACAAAGGTAAAGCCCAGGACCATGCAAGAACAGCACCATACCCCTCACCTAAGTTGTCATTTGCTAGTGTCACACGAAAGCCTTTTAGCTAAGGCATTTCCTGGGGTAGAATCCCATGATTCATTCCAGGACAAATGCTCCTATGACTTCTCTGGTACCCAACTGCACCTCCATGTCAAGTTGATGTGAGTCCACCACTTTACGAACAGGCTTTCTGACTAGGCATAGCATTAGGTTATTCTTACAGCTGCTCTTCAATGTTCACATCTTCTCCTATTTCACACAAAGTAGACAAGGAATTGTTGTTCCCATTTACAGAAGAAGAAATGGAGTTCCCAAGGCAAGAGACCAAGATTCATTGACAAAAGGGAAGAGAATAAAAAAAAAAAAGCAGGTCCTATCTTTCATCTCACTATTCTGGGTAGACCCACAAAGTCAGCTAACCAAACAATCCTTTCAGAGCAAAGGCAAGAGAAAAATTATAGTCAATTTTCCCTGATGTGGGGGATACATATTTAAACTCAAGCTGTATTTTCCTGCCACTAGGTCATATATTCTATAATTGGGAGGCACATACCCAGAATGTGACTTATCAACAGCAAAATATATCACGAAAAGCCAGGTATAATGGCACATGCTTGTAATCCCAGCAGTTCGGGAGGCTGAGGCAGGAGGATCATGAGTTCAGCAAAAGTGAGGCTCTAAGCAACTCAGCGAAACCCTGTCTCTAAATAAAATACAAAATAGGGCTGGGGATGTGGCTCAGTGATCACATGCTCCTGAGTTCAATCCATGGTACCCCCCCCCCAAATATATATCAGGAAAATTAATTTACATGTCCCTCTCCATTCCCAATTTCCCCAACATAGACCAAAGTCCACTATAAACTAGAAATAAGAGTGAAGTCATATATATTCGATTTATATGAAAGTCCAAAATTAAACCAGGTCTGCTACTAGGTCCAGCCTGTTAAGAACAAGTTCCTGCCTGGCCTCCCCCAGCCTCCAAGCCACACTTCTTACCTTCCCATCAAACTTGGCAGTGGCTCCTTCTTTGATGCACAGGTTCCGAGGAGGCAGAAGGAAAGCAGGGGCTTCGGTCAGGGGCATGGAGTCAACCTTGAAGGACCCACACTAAGGGAGGTTTTGGAAATGTGTGATGAGGAGACCAACTTCACATCCCCTGTGGTCTGCAAAAAGGAAGGAAAAGGACCAGGTCAGAGGAGTCAAAACGCAGTGCTGTCTTCCCTCCACATGGCCACATGCCCAGCCTGGGGGTGCAAGCTTGGGGAGGAGCAGTGTCTACCTGGAGCTTCTTTCTGGGACCAACAAGGTTCCAGGGTAAGGCACAGCCTGTGCCACACTCCAGCTCCTGGGGCCAGGCTTGCCTCCTCATTCCCTCTGGAGAACTTGCCATCTGTCCCCCGTCTCCCTCTTCTAGGAAAGGGTGACTGGGACAGGAAGAGAAGAGCTGAATGGCTTAGAGGTTTTATAACAGGTATCTGAAATCTTCATTGAACAGTCACTGATCCTTCAGAAACATTTGTAGCTGAAAGTAAAAAGTGTTTGGGGCTGAACTGTGAGAGCTCATGGGCTACACAAAAACTGGGATCCATTCTCCAAAAAGGTAAGAGTTTCAGGTTAACATGCAAGGACCCTGGAGGAGGGGAGGGGAGGGGAGGGGAGCAGAAGAAGGAGTTTGTGGAATGAAGGAAAGAAAGCAGACTAAGGACTAGATTTTTTGTTTTGTTTTGTTTTGTTTTTAATGTTTTTAAGTTCCATAATTAGAGAAGAGAGATATTTTAAGGTCATACAAGCTGACTCAACTATTTATAACAGAGGCCCAGAGAGGGTAAATCACTTGCCCAAGGAGACACAGTAAAATGATGCCATCACTAGCAAGAATACCTCAAGCCCAAACTCCTGGGCCAGGCCTAGGGACACTAGACAAGGTGGGACTGGGGGCTGGCAAGGTTAGCTGGAACAAAGGGGCCAAAGTGAGAAGTCACCCATGGCTACCCATTACAGCGCTGATCAACTCTTTTGCAATGTTTAATTATTCTCAACTTTTAAATGTTTCATAATAAAGCCTGGGAAAAAAAACAATATGCAAAACTAATAAATTATTATTTACTCTACACTTGTTCTGTTCCAAACACTATATGGAATACTTGATTATCTTATTCAATTTTTCATTACTTTAGTTTTGATTGACATATGTGTGTATGTACACATATGGTATAATGTGATGTTTTGAAACATATATACATTGTGCCATGATCGAATCCGAATAGTCAGCATATCAATTGCCTTAAAAATATTCATCATTTCTTTGTGGTGATGACCCTCAAAATCTTTTTCTCTGGTTATGTTAAAGTATACATTATTGTTTAACTACAGATTCCTGTCTTTATGCAATAGAATCCCAGGTCTTATTCCTCCTATTTAACTGTAACAACCCCACGAAACTGATATAGTCATCATTTTGCGAATGAGGAAGCTGAGCTCAAACAGGTGGAATAACTTGCCCATTATACAGCTGACCATCAGAAGTGGAGGAAGAATCCAGATTTGCCAGGTTCCAGAGCTCTTTTGTTCATATCAGACAGCCCAAAGGAAAACAACATGAAATAGCCACAATTTTATTATACAGAATGGTGAGGCAGCTCCCTCTGATTTTGTTTTTATGAATATAGAAAAACACATATTTGAGAGAAAACACATGGTTGAGAGCATTTATGTTTCCTATCTTTTTCTCACAATTTTTCTTAAAACAAAGTGGATAGAACTACTTTTTTTTTTTTTTTTTTTTTTGGTACCAGGGATTGAACTCAGGGGCACTCGACCACTGAGCCACATCCTCAGCCCTATTTTATTTTATTTAGAGACAGAATCTCACTGACCTGCTAAGTGCCTTGTTTTTGCTGAGGCTGGCTTTGAACTTATGATCCTCCAGCCTCAGCCTCCCTAGCCTCTGGGATTACAGGCATACACTACGGCACCTGCCTAGAACTGCTTTTAATATAATTTTAAATATTCCATCCTTTGGGTGTTTGACTGTCTCCCCATTGCTGGCCATTTGGACAGTTGCTAATTTTTTTATGGTAAAAACTCTTACAATGAGCCTTAATCTGTGTCTAAATCTATGTCTGAGTTTCTGATGATTTCCTTAAGCTGGACTTACAAACCTGAGTTCTTGGTTGTAAACAACAGAAACCAATCTGGTTCTCATAAGTGGAGAAAGGCTTTCGGAAAAGAAGGTGGGGGTGGGGGATCCAAAGCCTAAAGGAGAGGTGGGAGAACCCCACCTAAACTAAGAGAAGCTGGGTGGTCAGATGCAGTCAAGGTCACTGGGTATCAGCTGTCACCACCTGGAGTACATCCTAGTGTCCCTGTGCCAAGTTCCTAGTTCAGGAAGGAGCCCTAGCAGGCTGGGGCAGCTCCAGGATGGGACCATATCTTAATCACCATGACATCCCTGGTGCCTGGCACATCACAGACACCAAACAAGCATCTGCTGAATGAAAGAGACGTCTAGTTTTTCCTGTTCTGTTAATTTTCTTTGGCTATTTGGTAGCACACTTAAGTTCCACGCTATGGGTCAGGTAAAGAGTCACCAAGGAACAGTGGTGTATGGGTCTTATAATTAGCTTGTTTACATTTAATATCTAACTAAAATAAGGCTCTTTTAAAGTATAAATTAAAGCAACAAAGTGGCTAGGTTTGTTTGTAACTGGGCACATTCTCTGCTTGACAAACCTTGCTTTCTCTTTTACTGATAAGGTATTAGCTTTGCAAACAAAATTCCATTCCTAATGATAAGACTTAAGACCTGACCACAGCAGGAAACAATGAAAATAAACACTATGTAGCACTTAAATCAGAAACTGTACTAAACACTTCACAAATAATAAATGGTTTCCTTTCCTCCTTACAACAACATTATGATACAGATAATCTCATCATCCCCATTTTAGGGATCATAAACCTTGTTCTATGTCACACAGTGGGGAAGAGAACTGGCATTTGAACGTGGGCATGAGGCACCTGAGCCGCTATTCTGAACCACTGAGTCTTCTGGCCTCCTGAAGCAGTTGGCTGGTGGGAAGGGGGTTTGATGTTGATGTAACAAGGGAAAAATTGAGAGCTGCTCAACTTATGTAAATGTAAAATTAAGATTATTCTGTATTGCTAAACATACAATCAACAACCTTAAAAGATGGATGATATTCTGGGATAAAATGCTTGTAATGAAAACCAAAGAAGAAATCAGCCCACAGATAAACGCGCAGAGGATATGACTTGAATAGAAGTCAAGCCCAAATAATATAAGAGTAAAAATTAAGAATGATGCTTTTTTTCTTTAACTAACCAAACTGACATTTAATGCTAGCCATGGGGAGATGGGCATACTCATATCCTCCTAGGGGCAATATAAATTAGTACAATCTTTCCAGAAAGCAATTTGTCCAAAAGATTCTAAAATAACTATCCATCTCTTTTCCTAGTAATAGCACATTTAGAAATATATTATTGGGAAAGAATCAGAGATGCAGCCCAAATTTTATAGATAAGAACACTGATTGCATTATTTATAGCAAAAGGTAGACATGTAAAAAAATCTACTTAAATATCCAACAGTGAAAATTGGTTACATATGGTGGAATACCAGGCAGATATAGGAGTACATATTTACAAGGGAAATAATGATAGGAATTAATGATATAGAAAGTTTAAACTAAAAACAATTTATTATGGAAAAATTCAAACATACAGAAAAGTAGAAAGAATGATACAATGAGCATCCCAAAACCCCGTATTTAAATTGAACAATTAATATTCTGCCATATTTAGTAAATTGTTGTGTTTCACATATGTCTTTGAAACCATTTCAAAATGATCACCATGTGATTTGTTCTAGGTGATACAACGATTGCACATGCTTATAGGGTACAGTGTGAGAGTGCAATACACGTATAGAATGTGCAATGATCAAATCTGAATAATTAGCATTTCCATCTCCTTAAACATATATCCTTTTTTTGTATTGGGAACTTTTGGCCACCTCTCCTCTAATTCCTTATAGAATATATAAATTGTTGTAATCCATCGTTACCCTCTGGTGCTACAGAAACTGGAACTTAGTCCTCTCATCTGACTTCATTGGGCGCCTGCTGTGCTGCTATGGTTTAAATCTGAAAGGCCGCCCAAGGATTCACATGTTTAATGTTTGGTCCAGCCTGTGGTCCTACTGGGGGGTGGTGGAACCTCTAGGAGATGGAGCCTAGTGGAAGGCAGTTAGGTCACTGGGGCAGGAAGTGCCCTTGAAGGGGACACTGGGAGCCCAGCCCCTCCTCTCTTACTCTTTTCTTCCTGGCCCCCTGTGAGGTGAAAAGCTTCCTCCACCACCACATGCTCCCTGCCATGATGCTCTGCCTCACCTTAGTAATTGAGTCAGCTGACCATGGGTTGAAATATTTAAAACTATGAGCCAAAATAATCCTTTTCTCCTTCGACTTGATTTTTTTTTTTTTAGGTATTTTGTTACAGCAAGAGAAAGCTGATTAACACAGTACCCATCATCTAGCCTTCCTCTCTGCCCCTCACCCCTGCCCTTTCTAGTCTATACTTATCACTATTTCACTTTCCATTTCTATGAAATCAACTTTTTTAGCTTCTACATATGAGTGAGGTCATGTGATATTTGTCTTTCTGTGCCTGGTTTATTTCATTGACAAAATGTCCTGCAGTTCCACCTGTGTTGTCACAACTGATAGGATCTTTCTTTTTATGAGTGAATGTGGATTCCCTACCTTGGCTATTGTGAAGAGTGCTGCATAAACATGGGAATATAAGTACTTCCCTGACACAATATCTTTATTTTATTTTTATGTGGTGCTGAGGATCGAACCCAGTGTCTCACACGTGCCAGGCAAGCGCGCTACCACTTGAGCCACATCCCGAGCCCTCCCTGACATAATTGTAACAGCAAGAATCAGAATGTATTCATTCACTCAGGATGTATTTATAGAACACCTACTATGTGCCAAACTAGGTGCTGGGTATACAGCAGTAAATTATCCGTGGGGGTTGGGGGTGGACATTGAGTGTGTCTGTATTTGTGTGGTGTAAAGTGTGGTGAGTGTGGAAACATAAGGTAGGTGACATACTTAGGGATAAATGGGGTATAAACCTTCCATCTTTTTGGCCTCAGTTTTCTTTTCTGTCATTTGGGAATAATAACAATCATACGAGGAAGGGAGAACTGGAATAGGAGTATATATAAAGCCCAGAGCACAGCATAAAATGTATTCACTAAGTGCTAACTGCCCACAGCAGCAGCATCCACTTCCCCAAACTAAGCCAGCCTCACAACCTTAAAGACACAGACCCTGTCACCAAAGATAACAAGAAGCCCAGGCAGGCCTGATTACACTCAGGCAAGGTTGCTGGGGCAAGGGGCAGAGGCAGAGCTCCAGGAGGCAGCTGGTAGGAGCCCAGACTGACTGTCAGTTTCCTGTAGCACTGTTCTGAGCATTCTAGCAGCACCACTCACGGAGTAAGAAGTATGTGGCCGGCATTGTGCAGGGCACACTCTCACTCAATCCCAGCTATCCTGCAGGCAGTTCTGATTATCCTCTGTTCACAGATAAGGGTAGGGAGGCTCTGAAAGCCATCTATGCTTGCCTAAGCTTGCACAGCTAAGAAGTGGGGGGAAAAAAATCAGACTGTAAGGTCATACTGTGCTGCTTGCAGGAGACTCCCAAGACCCAACGTGGCATTTCCTGCCATTCCCAGTAATGTAATAGACAGAGGCCTGGGAGAAGCCCGAAGGAAGAAGGGCAGCAAATGTGTCTCCCCTTCTGCTCTCAGGCTTTCAGGGGAGCTGGAAACTAGGAGAGGTGAGATCAGGTCCAGGACCCTTTTTACAAAGCCTCAGGATCCAAGACCTGCTGAGGCCTATTACATCTCCTGAAGACCCCAAATGCTCTCATTAGAGAGCACACACTTGGCTATCCAATCCTAGGAATAATCTGCCTTCAGGTTATGAAAGGTACATGCCAGTCAATACAGCAGGGTAACACCTAGTCCCTGTGGGTGATTCCAGGGGGAGGATTACTGAACCACCCTTGGGAAGAACCACAGCCCAGTCCCAAGCTGGCAGTCACACCAAATAGCTCCACTCACCCCCAGCCCACTGCCCTGTCCACTGCCATCATCAGCACAGATTCCTGCCATGCTGCCAATTAGCGGCTCCTGACATATTTAGGGATAAAAAATGAATAGTAAAATAAATCAAGCCAAACCATCTTTGTTCCTCTCTAATCCTTCATCAGGTCAGGTGCCCACATTCCAATCAAGAAAACAGAGAGGCTGGGTGATGTCTGCAATTTCTCTATCAGCAGAGCAATGCTCAGTAGCTGGAGTCAAATGCACCCAACCAGGGGGTTCATTCAGTACCAGCTAAATGCAGAGCAAAGGACAGAGAAGTAAAACACAGGGGAGTGCGGATCGAGAGCTAGAAGCCTCCCTCCCACTGATGTTTGGGCCAAAGCCCACCTCCAAATAAAGTTTCCACAAGTAACATAATTTATTAGTTATACAAAGCAGTACTGAGTTAATTGCACTTTAACTTGATCAAAAGCACTTTAAATCATCTCTTGAACCCAGAAAGGAATACTTTCAACTATGGCCAATACAGAGTAAAACTCTGAGGCAAAAAGACTCAGAAAAAAAGTTTAAAAATCAGTGATCAATTATATAGCAGAATAAATTTAGAGAAACCAGCTATGCACTGACCTACTCAAAGTATACATTAACTTTCAATGATGGCTGTCCCAAGCACCTGATCAGTGAGTAGGGTGTCCTTGAAGTACCAAGCCTGCTCAGCTTTCTGCCACGAATCCCCCAGCAGCACACATTAGAGCCGACATAACCACCAGGGTGCAGATGCCCGGGCACTGACAGCTCTTCTCTCCTCTTAATCCTCTGGGCAATGCACTTAAATCCTGACACATTCCCTAATCACTCCTAATCCTAGAGAGAGTGGCTCCTCGCCTGTGCCAGGCTGACTGGCAAACAAAGTGGGGCAGAGCCACAGACGCACCTTACCGTGGCCTCTCCCCCCGCAGCTCTCACATGAGTCAGGACGCCAGGCAGTCACACTTCACCACCGTGCTGCTGAGATTCCTGTCCAAGTCCAGAGAGAATGGAGAAGGATCAGAGGAAAGTGGCCAGAACCCAGGGCCAGACCAAAAAAAGTTAAGGGGCTTTGTTCTAACTCTGCTCGCAGATGTTGCAACTTGCCTTCTGCCGGGCAGCCAGCTTCACCCGGGAGATCTGTTGTCCTAATCCGCCCAGCTGGGGTGACCTTTGAAACCTCTGGCTGCCAGCTGCAGAGGCTTTCAATGGAGTCCCAGGGAACCAGGGGTGGAAGCTCACAGGTTTTTACTTGTTCAGAGATGCAGATTCCAGTCTGAGTGTGGAGCAAGGGGAGGACCCTGTCAAGCAAAGAGCTGAGACCTTGGATGGGCTGGGCACTCCCCCAGGTCCACATCTGGCACAGAATGCCACTCCAACTCCTTGGTACATCTGGCCTGGTATTACCACCCAGGGCTCCCGAGACGTTTGCCTCCTGAGACCTGGCTCTTTCTTCCTTAAGCTGAAGAGGTCTTGTTTATGATCCCTAGAATAGGAGGCCAAGCCAGGGAAACGAATGGATCGAAAACTTCTGTGCTGTGATTCTTGGAAGGAATTCGGCAGAGATCTGAGCCAGGCCCCACCGGTTGTGTTCAATGAAGCACAGAACCTTGTGGCACTGATCTGCCGTGGCAGAGCCTCAAGAGCCCTCCTCGGGGCACCCTTCTACATGAAACAGCAAGGTGATGCTCAGACAAGATCTTCTCTTGCAGGGGACAGAAGGTATTTCTAGTTGCAGAGGAATTGCTCATCCTACGCAACTCAGACCTTGGGACAGACTGTGGCAGTCCAAGTCAGGAATGACATGAATTTAAGCTCTGTTGGGTCATGTCAGATTCTTGAAAAGCTGGTTCCTTCCAACACCTAGGGGACCCTCCATCCTCCAGCTCAGCAGTGCTCAAATGTTTTTGGTCTCAGGGCTCCCGTTTATATTCCTAAAAGTTAATAAGGATCCCAAAGATCTATCACTATCAAAATTTGATATATTAAAAATTAAATATTAATTCATTTAAAAGGATCAACAGTCTGTATGTTAACATTATTTATGTATTTTTAAAAATTTATTTTGAGGCAGGGTCTCACTTTCGTTGCTCAGGCTGGTCTTGAACTAGTATAGGGCTTAAGTTCTCCTTCTACCTCAGCCTCCTAAGTAGCTGAGACTACATGTGCAAGTCACTGCACAAGGCAACATAAGTATTTTAAAAAGAAAAATATATTGTTCAGTTTTACAATTTGTATGTGTGTGTGTGTGTGTGTGTGTGTGTGGTGTGTGTTGCTGGGCATGCTAGGCAAGCGCTCTGCAAATTTCTTTGATGTCTGGCTTAACAGAAGACAGCATGATTATCATATCTGCTTCTGCATCTATTCTTTTGTGACATCACAACATTTGTAGCTGCAGGAAAATGCCACTATACAGAGAGATAAGAGTTGGGGGGGAAGCAAATAACATCCTATATAAAAATAATTTGGACCTTACGGCCCCTTAAAAAGTCTCAGGGACCCCCAAGTGTCCTCAGGGCATATTTTTAAAACCTTATTTTTGTCAATCTTCCAAATCTTCCTATTACCATCTATCTCACTTCTGTCCTTAAAATCACACATGGAAAGGGAAAAGTGGTTTATATGAGTAGTGGCAGGCAGCTTTAAGGGACGGACGAGTGAGGAAGAGGGTGAATCAATGTCTAATTTGATTCCATCTTTTTATTCAGAGAGAAAAATTGAAGAGTTGTAGACTAGAGAGATTTGCAGCCTGAGAAAGAAACTGATGAGAAACCTTTACATCAATTTAGTCTTTGGCCAACAGTGAACATACACCAGCTGGGAACACCTAGCTCAGGGAGATGGTCCAGCAGTTTATGCCTAAGAAAGAAAGAAATTAATGCAGCTCACCACTGGGGAACGGAGGCACAGTCAGACCCAAGTCTTCCTGATAGTGGGCAACACTACGATGACTGGAATGGACAGAACTTTGAACAACAATTTGGACAAAGACATGGAAGGCTTGTCTGTTGAACCCAAGGGTTGCATTAGGTACCTAGGAATGGCTAATGTGTTAGAAGTTAAATATGACCCTGAAGATCCCCAAAATGGATCACAGGAAGTTAAATGAAAAATAATTTTTAAATTTCTACACTGGGCTCAAAAACAAATGCCTAAGTACAAAATAGTTGATTGGAAACACTGAACACAGACTTCTGGGCCCATTGAGACTAGGCATGGTTCCCTGCTAGGTGGACCATCAATCCTTTATGTTTCTTCATCCTGAGTATCACAGTTTGCAGTCATGTCATCAAGTGGTTCACCAAGCAACATCTGTGTCCCCCAAGGGAATGTAAGTACACCAGGCCATTGGTCCTATATGTTTCTGTCACTACTGTATCCCCGATGCCTGGAATATTGATGAGCATATAGTTCTCAATAAATCCTTGTGAAATGCAGAAATGAATATAAATCTGGATTAAAACATTTAAAAAGCCACTTCCAAATGATGACATTGTTTAATTTTGTTGTACAGGGAATCTCATGAATTGTTAGCAACCATTAAGAAAGGAGCAGATGAACAGATCACAAAGATAACAAAATCTAACGCCCTGAGGAATATTGGTATTTAGCTCTAAATGCATAGGCACTAGTCTTCCTCTAAACCTGATATATAACTCAAGTTTCCTTCCTATTCTTCTCAGTCTTCCTGCCTGTGAAATGGGCATAATCTGCCCTGGGTACTTTCTCTGGGTTTCCTGCTAGCATTCCCGAGTGACATCTGGGCATCCAGGTCCTGGGTTCCCAAATGAATGCATTTAAAGCCAGCTAATGTTTATTCCCCAGAGCTGAGCTCTCCCCAGGACACCAGGCAACCCCTCCCTCCTGGGCCTTTTCTCTAGGAAAACACATTAAAGTAGGGCCCAGACTCTTACAGGCAGATGAGCTGCCACATCACCCAGGCCACATCAGCAGAGTAGCAGACCACAGGTGGGAGGTGCATTTCAACCAGGCAGCACAACCCTATGTGAGCACATCATTGGCAGATAGCTATTTTAAAGTGTCTTAAAAGGAGACACAACTCTCTCTCTCTCTCTCTCTCTCTCTCTCTCTCTCTCTCTCTCACACACACACACACACACACACACACACACACACACACAGAAATCAAGTCAAAGTCAAAGAAACACATCCACCAAAGCTCACAGTGTAGGGTTGGGGCTGTAGCTCAGTGGCAGAGCACTTGCCTAGCATGTGTGAAGCACTGGGTTCAATCCTTAGCACCACATAAAAAATTAAAAAATAAAGGCATGCTGTCCATCTACAACTACAATTTTTTTAAAAAGCTCACAGTGAGAATGAGTGGACCTCCTGCTTCACTTGGGATTTAATAAGAGGCTGAGAGAAAATTCCTGCAATAAAAGTAATATGCAAAAGAAACCAAAGCCAGAACCAGAAACAATGATTATAACCAAATGAGCAAAATCCACATTCTAGCAACAATCCTAAAGTTCACACATTTCGTTGACACGTACAAGCAGCCCAACCTGGACTCTGGCACAGAAGATCAGGAGGCTCAGTCACTATTCCTGCTATTGCTGATGTTGTTTTATAATTTCTATCAGAGGCTCACAGGATAAAGGCAGCCTGGTCAAGAAGAGGGCCACAGGAGAAATCAGGAGCCAGCACAAAAGGCGAAAGAGCGCAGGGGAGTCAGCAAGCCTCATGCTCGTTGCGGCTCCACTCTAGCCAGTTGTGTGACTTTAAGAAAGCCACTTACCTGCTCTGGTGCATGTTCTCTCTACCTGGCTTGAAGCATCTCCCTGGATTCTTCCTGCCCTAGTGCATCTGTCTCTTGGATGCTGCCTGCTCCCCACAGTTCACGTAAGCAGAGAGCAAAGATTCCAGAGGGTTGCGGGTGGGGAGCAGTCAAGCCCAGAGCAGAGTCAAGGGGCAGTCAAATCAGGCAGGTGCTCTTCTTGACCCTTGAGACACACCCAGGTAGACCATAAAGACACTGGAGACTGGGCCAGTGCCAGGGATGGTTACCTTTGCAGTTATCCTGCTTCTCAGCCACTGGCAAACTCCCAGATCAAGTTCTCTTTTTCAGTGCATCTTGTCAAAGAGACGGCCTGGGGCTGGCTGCAAGAGCTAAGGGGAAACTCCAGGGGGAAAGGGGAGGAGAGAAGGGAAAGAGAAAGGGAGCACTAATAATAACCACTTTGCTGAGCCACTTACTGTGCCAGGCATCAGACTAAGTACAGAGGTGACTTAGCTCATCCAGTCCCTTAGTAGAGTGGCAAATATTAACAGAAAAATTAATGGGGCAGGGCACTGGGGAGTACCATTTGCTTACAAAGTAAATCCAATATATTCCTTTTCTTTCAACCATGTCATTCTTCCTCCCTATTTTGAAAAAACCTAGCACACGAGAATTGGCTGCCAAAGGCAGAAGGTGTTGAAAGACTAAAGAAATAAATGGTCAAATCCAGTGCACGAAGTGGACTTATGTACAAAAAGTTTGGGGTGGCAGGAGGAGGATCCCCACATGAGCACACTATGAGGAAGGAAAAAGGGACTCCGATGCTGAGCTAGACAAAGGTAGGCCAAAACCAAACAGAATGTACCAGGACTTCCTCAAAAACGAACGTGTCAAAATGTCAGTTAAGAAGCAGTTCAGGTATGGCACTGGACACTTACTACCTTAATGACATTGTTTATCTTATAGGGTTTAGAATGCATGCCAGAGTCACCCAGTGGGAAAAATGACCCAGATGGCTATAGTCAGCTCAAGCAGGATCTCCACACTCCCCACCTCCAATTCTGCAAGCACTTAATAATTTGACTTATTCTGAAGCAGGAATCTATGGGGAGCAGGTGGGTTTGGGTAATCCCCAATAGTAGAGCACCCTGTTGGTGTTATGGAGGCAAAGGGCTGAAGGGATACCAGGAAAGGTGAAAGAGAAGGGTCACCTCTCTGTGCCAGGATTCTGCCTGCCTTCCCTCCTCCCCAGCACTGGTCAGTCTATAGAAAAGCCTAGGAGGGCCCTTGGAAAAGAAGGCCCAGGAAGGACGGGAGCCTCAGGATGCTGCTGAACAGTCACTCCGGAGCTTTGGCTCCGGTCTGGCTCAAG